GGTGCTGTGAGCTGGCTGTGCACGTGGTGGAGACAGGTTGCTGGTGCCGGTGCTGGTGCTGGGTGCCGGGTGCCGGTGGCTGGTGCTGGTGCTGTGAGCTGGCTGTGCACTTGGTCGGTGCTGGGTGCCGGCTGTGCACGTGGTGGAGACAGGGTGCCGGGTGCTGGTGCTGGGTGCTGGGTACCGGTGCTGGGTGCTGGTGCTGGGTGCCGTGAGCTGGCGTGCCGGTGCTCGGTACTGGTGCCCGCTTCTGACAGTGAAGTGAAAACAACCGCCGCTTCTGACAGTGAAGGGTGACAACCTGCCGCTTGTAGCAGTGAAGGGCGACCAACAGCCGAAGTGCCAGCAGTCATGGGCCGCATGAACTTATGCACGCAACATCATACGGTGTGTCGCTTGAGGGTTCTTCGTATATTGGCGCTGTGGGGTATTTACACTCTTCAGGTTCTGTTTTGGCCGACAGCTGTGTCAACCGCTGTACTGTTGGCGCGCGACGTATAATATTCTATGCGCAACGTCAGGCTCTCAACCGACCATTGTTTCAGCGTGCTTCAGCCTGCTACACACACAATAGTCGTGCTGGATACTGCTTGGCCTTGGGCGAGTGAAGCCTACGGGCTTTGCCGTTTGTGCGCATACTTTGTGCGCATAAACTTATAGTGGCGCTGGATACTGCTTGGCCTTGGGCCAATGACACTTACGGGCTTTGCTGTTTGTGTGCATACTTTTTGTGCGCATAAACGTAGCGCATACTGTAAACGTATGCGCGCAAGCTAAGATCATACGTTGTTATTCCCCAAATAGGGATAGCTATGGGGTTCTTACTGCAAATAAGAATGAGCCGCGCGCGCTTTCGAAAGGGTGTCGGCGCTGGGCGGCGGCGCTGGTCGGGTGCTGGTGCCGCTGCCGGTGTTGTCAGCTGGCAAAGCGCACCGGTGCTGGTGTCAGCTGGTTGTGCGCGCTGTGGAGGCGCCGTAAGCTGGCTGTGCAGGCTGCGTACATTCTTGTTCCAGCCAGTCGCATGTCAACAGGTCGTGGGATTCTGCCTAGCTATCTGGGTCTATGCTGGTGTAATTTGTTTTGGAAGGTGGATGTGGATTCTTAACGATTCGCTCTTACCCTTGTTGTAGTCTGGTTAAGTGAGTCATTTTCCCTGCAATTGCTGCCATCTGAGTGCTTGAACAACAGCTCCACTGAGTGGGGGTTCTGAGGTCTCTGTCTCTCGGCATTGGTATGGTGAAGACGCCGTCTGGGCTCTCATCACAAGGCGCGCCCTGTCTTCACAAGTAAA